CAGTGTGTGTGTGTGTGAGCGGGAGGCAGAGCGGCAGAGAGATGCGACAAAGTTGCGAAATTGCAGGCGCGGCTCAAAATGGCTGTTATTTCAAATAGCATATTTTAAACTAATCGGTTAACCGGTTTCAACCGGTTAATGAGGCTCGGTGGTCGGTCAAGAAATTTTTTAGTTTTCGCCATCCCTAGTTCAGAGACAAAGTGGTTAACTCTGCTTTGACTTTAATTATTTACTTTTTTTTGGAACAACATGAGATGTATGGTTAAATGATTTCTTTAAGTGGTTTACGGCAACATTTATCACAGAAGTCAATTTAATGTTTAAGGTATATAAAGGTGTAATGGGCATGCAACACTGAGAAATATTGTCTAAATAAACATGTCAAATGGAAGATCAATCTTTGAGTTTTGCCAACAGACTCCAGGCTCTGAAAGTTGCTTATAATATCAGAAGAGAAATGAAGCTGTGAAGTCGTCCAGCAGTGGGACTAATAGATGGGCAGCAGCAATGCTGAGGTCAGACGGCCACTCTCTGACAGCGCCCGAGATGACCAAGATGAATCTGCCTCCCGCTTCCAACAACTAATGATAATGTCAAACCCCTTACAGAGGGACAGGCGTGATTTACTGAAGAAAAACACCAGAGTAATGTCTCGAATTCTTCCGGGAACTTCTGGACCGTACCGAGGACGGGAGGAAACAGGCTTTGCCACTAATTAGTTTCCCTCTCTCTCGTTCTCACTTAGTTCCAGTTCATTTCCTCTCTCTCTGCTTACAGTAAAACACAAACACCCTCAGAGATGAATTCATTTCAGGAGTAAAAAAGCTCTCTTTCAAAATGAAGACGACTGTCTTCGGGTGGTGATCGAAGCAAACGTTTTTTTTAGTAGATGATGTTTGAGTCAAATAATGAATCACAAAAACAATTAAATATTAATGCAGGCTATTATTTTATGATAATGCAGGGGTCTAGATAGCACTGAACCTGCATTAATGACACTGACGTTGTTTTAAAAATGAAATCTATTTCAATTCTGTTTTGGGTACCAGACATTTAGTGCCCAATTTTTCAGAGGGGTCATAAAACATTTTTAGGGCTGTTGTTAACTCGTTAACCCACAATAATAATCGATTCAAGTGGCTAGTAGGCTTACATGCACTTTCAAGTTCACATTAAGGTCAGCTGAATCATGAATAGTGAGTGTCTTTATCTTGAAAAGGTAATTTACATTGAATTATCAAGGATTGTTTTAAATTGATCAAGAATAGTTACTGTTTTGATGTCACAGCTCCAAGTGCAGGGTTTCTCAACTCTTGCCCTCAACCTCTACTTTTTTAATACCAACCTTGATCAAACTCACCTGCCTGTAACTTTCTAGTAATCCTGAAGACCTTGATAAGCTTGTTCGAGTGTGTTTGATTAAGGCTGAAGCTGAATTCTGCAGGAAAGTGAACTTTGAGAGTCAGAGTTGAGAACATCTTGTGATGTATATTCACCAATGGTATCATTGGGTTTCATTCATGAAACACGAACAGAACGGATTTTTGTGTAAATCGTGTGTAAAGTGGTTCTGGCGTAAATTTTCAGATTCATTAAAATGTTCGTATTTTCCAAATGTTAGTTGGTACGAAAGAAATCTACACCTGCTCCCAGCCACGCGTAAATAGTGCGCTTAACACCCGAACGTTTTGGTCATTAATAACTAAGGCTGCATTTTATTTCACCTTAATCTGGTACATATTTACACAGCATTTTGAAAAAATATTATATATAGTAATTACATACGGTTTTTCTTTTTACTTTGGACTTTTTGATTAACAGATGAAACTCCATTAACTGCATCTTATGCTGCCAAGCTTCCTTTTTTTTAGGACCTGATACTATGTAGCCTACGCTTGAAAATAAAATGTGGTGTTTTGAATGAACTTCTGATAATAAAACTTCGATTTCTGCATCTGAGAAAGTTTTCATTCGCTTTTGAGAAGACATGTTGAAATCCTTCGTTTGGTGTCATAACATGATGCCCATATATAGTTGTCAGTCGGAATTAATGGGCGGGATTTATGGTAATTGAGAATGAGCGTGCACGCGCATCCCATTTACGACTGATTGGAATTCATTAACACACACATTTCACTATCAAATCTGACGTTTACGAAGTATTTGTGAATCAGGAGAAGAGTTTTCGGGAAGGTCTCTTTACAATCGCAAATCTTTACAATCTCTTTCACAGTGCGCAAATCACTCTCATATTTACGAATTTCATGAATGCGATCCATTGTGTGTAGAGTGATTGGTCACATGACAAAGAAATCAAACACGGGATTCTCATTTCTGGAACTGATGGTTCCTCATCTCCTTGCTTTTCTGTCTTCCCATCTTCAATTATCTTTTAGATTATTTTTTATTCCGTGGCGGAAACAAGCTTCCACTGTCAATCAGGTAATCATTTGCGCATTTAAATACGGTTGTCAATCCAGAAACTTTGCAATGTGTAGTTACTAGCAGCATTAAAAATAAATATTAGAAAGCAAACAAAGATTGCTGTCAGTATAGTCACTGAAGCTGTCAATCACAGTTCAACGCGAGGTACACAAAGCTGCTCTCTTCTGAAAACTCCCGTTATAATCAACGAAGCTGAGAGGAATCTCTTATTGACATCCTGTTTATTCTTTGTTGATTATAATGAAGGGATTCGTGAGCATAAACCCTGCCGTTTTGAGCGGTGTTGAGAGGATTCTGAACAAACTTTGAGCACATCTGATTGGCCATTGCATTCACACGCTCAACAGATAGGTCTGTGATTGGCTACAAAGCTCAACGCTGCAAAAACACGTTATAAATACAACCTTTTGACACTCTTCACGATGACACAAATACTCAGCGTTTTAAAGCAGCCGGCTATCAGCGGGTACCAGAACGGCAGGCATCGTCACATTATATGATCAGATAAATCTTTGAAAGGACAACGATTTATTTTGACGGCCGGCAACATATTTTCAATGCAGGAAAAACCCTGTTATAGATCAGTTTTTCCACAATGTTTCAAATCAACATGCTCCTTTTCAGCGTCACAACTCGTGTACCGTCGAGAATTCAGTGTCCCATTCATCTTTGTTTGGTTATTCTTGTGCTTGATATTCGTGATTACGATATTTCCGACTCCACTTGAAGGGCACAGTAAAAGGATCGGAGAGCTCTGCGAATAGACAAGTTGCATATTTCACGTCCTTAAAGGATCAGGTGTTTGGAGGAGGGCGATTAAAACAACAAAAACAAAAAGATTTGTGATTTTAATATCATTTGAAATAACGTGCACTGATGAATATTACACAATAAGGGATGTATTAAAGTAAATAGGGTGAATTTTGCATTCATGTTGAGTTCAGTGAGAGCTGACTCCAGCAGAGACACACTTCAACAAAATATGGATATTAGACAGGTTTTTTCCCCAATAAAATCACTCACCAGAGAAATGTGCTGTGAAAGAAAACGACGCAGGGTGAAAACCTTCCCACTGTGTTCAGCTCCGGTTCATCTGAAGCTTGTGATAGAGCAGGTTAATATGAGCTGCTACTGCAGCCTGGCAGATTAATATAAATCTAGCCAAGATGGGTCAACGGTGCCACTTTTTATGTTCACAATGCAAACGAGCTTATAGTGAAATATGAAAAATTGCTCCTTTGAGTCTGCGGAAGCTTGTTTTCTATCTACATTTGTAGGGAAAAAAATATTTTCATTTTGTTTGAATGGTGGGCTTCTGTTAGCATTTGGCTGTGACACTCCTGCCCTCGAGCTTTTCAATTCACCACTGTAATAGTGTTTCCTGCCTTCAGAGGCAAACGCACTGGTACTATTAGTTGAGCCACTGACATTTACCTCACAGCAACCCTTTTAAGGGAAACAAATGCTGATTTTAATAATTCATGGCTAATATTCTTGACATAAAGCAGTTTTTTGTCCTACCATGTAGAAATATTTTGACCTGCAAACACATTTTTAGTATAAAACATTTTGGGGTTGCACTTTGTTTAAAGGAATCAGTGTTACAGTGTAATTGTGCATTTAGGAACTGAGTAATATTAACTACATGTACTTGCTACAGGGTTAGGTTGCATGTAATTATGCACAGTTTATAGTAATTACTACAGTAACTAAATGTAACGTGTAACAAGGACACTGCAAAATAAAGTGTTACCCATTTTGGTTACATTTTAAGGTGCCTTTGTTACACTGTAATTATACATTTAAGTACTGCGTAATATTAAGTACTGGGTTAGGATTGGGATTTGGTTTAGTTGCATGTAATTATGCATAATTTACTGTTATTACTATAGGAACTACTACATGTAACGTGTAACAAGGACACTGTAAAACATGAAACAAAGCTGAGTTGTGCACAATAACATGCATTAAGAAACTCAGTGAATTATGATTTCATGTTGACAAACAAGACTTGAAATGTTTATTCTAGTTTGAGCAATTTACTCATTTATTTTAAATGTTACCGTTGTGTAGTTTGCATGCAAAATGTTGTTGCCAGATCCTCATTTTGCATTTTATGTTACTAAATTGTTTTGTAGTGTACTCAAACACTATTGTTGTAATTATTGTTGCTCACATTTTTTATTAATTAATTGAATCAAATATTTACATCTCATTGACTACTTTTATGATATTTTAGGTTGCTTTCTCTCATTTTTGGACCTTGACGGCATTTGATTTAACTGTATGGAAAAGAGCAGCGTGTACATTTTACACAATATCTGCACAGACAGACAGAAAGAAATAATTATTTCTTTCTGCAGATGTTGTGATGGAAATAAATAAATAAAGAAAGAAAGAAAAAGAAAGAAAGGAAGGGATTGGAATAACAGCAAAAAACACATTTTTTTTGTGAGAACTGTCTTCAGTTTAATAAGACAATATGCGACTAAGACAGACTCACAAGAAGGACAAAAATGCCCACTCATTATAAAAACTTTATTTTGAATAAAACGTGTGGAACCTCATTACATGTAGTGTGGCGGGTTTAATGGTTCTAGCTCGGGTCAGAACAGCACTGCATCGGTGACTTCACTAGGTCAGAATCAGCTGGAGAACAATGTTTCGCAGGTGTTACAGTAATGTTCAAATCTAACACTTCACTGAAGGTAGCACACCACAAATACACCATGTAGAAAAATGAAAGGACTGCTGGGAAAACAAGGGGGGAGAAAAGCACAATGTAATTGTCAGGGGCAGCTTCCTCATCACACAGCCAGTGTAGCTTTGTGGAACGACCGATGGGACGATGTCCTTACTTTTGTTTTTGGAAACGGAGAGTGAAACTCAATCGACAGTCACACCAATGAGTGATTGATAATGTCTGAGGTAGCAAGGCAATCATGGCTTTCTCTAATTTTATTTGATTTTTTTTAAACATTTATTTATAAAACTATACTACACAAAGATAAATCTTCTTGGGCCAAACATCCTGAAAATCCATATTTCCTACATTTGTCTTTATAATATAATCTTTCTACATGATTTTGAGCGGTACGGCATCTCTCGGCCACTCGCCTCTCCTGGAATGGATGCTTTATAGGCACAAAAGGGTATTTCCGACGCATTGTAGCGTTTGTGTCGTACATCATCTGTGCGTGCGCTCTAGAAATGCAGTGAGGGTTCGGATATGCGCTGCTGCCAGTGGCACAAACTGTCAAAACGATGCTTTAAAGGGAGATTTCACGGCAAACACTGTCAAAACAGGCTAAAACTCGAACAGAATAATGCTGGGGGCAACATGCGCTAACAGTTTAGCATTACGAGAGCGATTCGTCTTCGTGTCCACTGATGTCTGCGACGTTTTCCGACTAAGCGATTTGAACGGCAACTGATGTGAGCTGCGTCTAAGATATGTGGTAGCAGTGTGGTTCCTCGGTGAACATGGAAATAAAAGCAAACAGGTTACACGATAAATGGCCCCCATAACCCTAAATAATCATCCGAGTATTAAAACAATGGGCAGATACACCTTACGTACAATCTACATGTGGATCAAATGTACACTTGCATAGTACAGACAGACGCAGTAGTAATATCCATTGAATGAACTGTGTGGTTCTGTTCCAGAGTCTTTGGGTTTGAGGATAAACACCTCTTGTCTTGGGAACAGCCGGGAATCTGCATCTCTGGAATGGGAATCTCCTTGTCATGTCGAGTTAGACTTCTTGCTCTTCAAAGGGATGTTCTGCTGAAAACCTTCACATCACCTGGACACAAACATTAAAGCATTGTGTAAGTATCTATAATGCATGAACTGAATGTTGAACTTCATTGAAGTAAGTACCAATGAAACCCAGTGCTGCGGATATTATGTATTTTAATGGGTCAACCCGGAGGTTCGCATCACCCCTGTTCCCTTGACAAAAAGCCAATAGGATTTATTTCATTGGCTTTTGAATTGTTGCAGAAAATAAGCTCTTTGACCAACAAAAGTTTGATTCTTACACGTTTTATTCGTCAAGAATAAACAATTTGAAGCCAAAATACAATCAGCACTAGTCTAAAAACAAACTGTATCACGGTTGCGCGACTTTAGCATTACATTTAGAGGACGAGTTTAAACACAATGAGGCTGTAAAAGTGGACTAGTGAGTAGACAACCTCAGTAGTCCCTAGCCAAACGCCTTCGACAGACTGTGTGATTTCAGCAATCCTATAAGATCATTACAAATCACGCTGTATGACGTGGATCTAATAAACTTGGGTACGGCATGTATGATGACGCCTGTTGAAACGTACGATAGGACAAGTTAGTGTAGAAGAATAAAACGTCACCAGTATGCGCTAGTTGGGAACAAATAGAGCAAGATGAATCGCACTTTGGCAGGTGTAGTTTAGTCAAGAGTGAAAGAGGAGGATATGGACGCGGTCGTGGTTTGGGAAAAGTGCTAGTTTTGCAAAAGGAGCTTGAGGAAAGTAGTTTTAAGTTTTAGCGCCATGTTGTCTTGATCAATACGCCATTTCATGTTGCATTTGTATTGGCTAGTCAGTGGACGTAGATCGCAGCATCAAACACACTGTGAGATGATCAATGAAAATATTTACAATCTTGAATTTAAAAGGTGTCTCTCACATGGTCCCACAGCAACATTATAATAGTGTAGATTAGTGTACAATGTTTTATGATAATAATTGATTCTATTTAGTGTCCATTTCATTCATTTAACATATTTAATATTGGGGGCATCCAAGTTATTTCACATATTTAAACATTTTATTAAAAAGTAACACAATAGTTACTTTCCCTGGTAACTAGTTACTTTTATAATGATGTAACTCAGTTATACTATTAGTGAGAAGTAACTAGTTACTATAACTAATTACTTTTTTTAAGTAACATGCCCAACACTGGTGACGACAGCCGTCTTTAAGCCCGTTTAGGAGCCACAACCACAGAAACTACTAACTAATAACCCATTTAGAAAAAAACATGGACTTCGAGACAACATGGAACCATGAGTTAAAAAATGTTAACATTATTTGATGTTTTATAACTCCCAGCACTCTTTTGACTTTGTACATTCACAGTTTGGATTTCATGGGGTCACCAAACACAGTAGTTCAGCTCATTTCAAGCTGGACATAATGAAGGTAATGGCTTGAGTAAGCAAGTGATGTCTGTAAGTGAATCGTTGCACTTCTTCAAAGAAAGAGCTCATGAGTTTGGGACTGATTCATGAGTCTGACTAAACATCAGAACCGATAACAGAATCAAACCTATTGTAAATAATTTGGCATCATTTCTTTTTATTTATTTAAACTTCCCTAGCCTGGATGCCAGCCCGAACCCCGCCCACAACATTTTTTGGACTGGAAGTTCGGTCTGGACTCGATCCATTGAGGAGTAATTATGATCGGTTCAGGAATCGTCAGGCCAATCAAATTGCCAGGGCGGGCTTTATACGATGATGGACAGATGATCTGCAGTTACGTAATCATCACGTTATCAAAGAGCGCTTGGGTTGAACTGGTTTCCCTCAGAGATGACTGCAGCTGGAGAACTGAGATGTAGAGATTCCGCTATTGCGTTTGTTGTAAAAGAAATCGACAGCGCATTCATTTTAAAAGACGAACAGAGAACTGCAATCAAGGCATTTGTCGATCGGAAAGATGTGTTTGCCGTCCTTCCCACGGGATTCGGCAAAAGTTTAATTCATCAGCTGGCTCCGATGGTCACTAAGAAGACGGGACGCAATGAAAACCCTGCGGTCGTTGTGGTTTCTCCTTTGGTCGCACTCATGGAGGACCAAGTAAAAGAAGCAACACTCGTTATTTTACTACTTCTTCCAGCGTGCGTGCAGTTGAGTTCTGTTGACAATTTGCGTAGCTCATAAAAAACACTTACTGCGTTGCTCTGATTGGTTAAAGGTCTATCCAATTGAGTGCAGAGTTTTTTTTCCCCCTGGTTTGGTTAAGACACGCCTCATAATCAAAGCCCTATGGAGCAGTATCAGACTCACATTCTGACTAGAATATGAGTATGACGAAGTCAGGCTAAAACTTTCCTGAATAAGAACTGATTTTTAATTCACAACCTTTGATAATGCAAATGCTTCAAAGCCAACATTTTCTAATAAAACCAGTCAATAAATCATCAGAGAAATGTAACATATGGAGATGCCAGACTATCGTCTGTGATGGATCTTCGCATACAAGCTCATCACTAAGATTTCTCATTAACAGAAACTTGATTGATAGTGTTTCCATCTGAGCTGGTTCAAGCGCACTAATGGAACAAATATGTCCAGTGCTTTCAGAGACCTATTTGCAAGTAGATAGGATAAGAAAACTGGTGCAAAATGGTGTTACAACCTCAGCTATTCCCTTTCTCTTTGTGGTCAGTATGAATTGCTGTGGAGAAGAGCTGCACGATACTGAATTAAATCATCAAATTTTTTCCCCCTACGATTCTGAATACACAACTAAACAAAATAACATTGTTTACTAGAGGTTCTGACAAAATGTTATTTGCTGCAGTCTGTTTAAAATGTATTCAGTTAATTTGAATGAATTACTGGATGAATCAGCGTTTTTGAACAAATCTCTTGAATGAATGATTCAATGACTCACTCATAAAGACTTGTTTCATTACTGGATGAATCAGCGTTTTTGAACAAATCTCTTGAATGAATGATTTAATGACTCACTCATAAAGACTTCACTTGTTTCATTACTGGATGAATCAGCGTTTTTGAACAAATCTCTTGAATGAATGATTCAATGACTCACTCATAAAGACTTGTTTCATTACTGGATGAATCAGTGTTTTTGAACAAATCTCTTGAATGAATGATTTAATGACTCACTCATAAAAACTTGTTTCATTACTGGATGAATCAGCGTTTTTGAACGATCTCTTGAATGAATGATTCAATGACTCACTGATAAACACTGCACTTGTTTCATTACTGGATGAATCAGCGTTTTTGAACAAATCTCTTGAATGACTGATTCAATGACTCACTCATAAACACTGCACTTGTTTCATTACTGGATGAATCAGTGTTTTTGAACAAATTTCTTGAATGAATGATTCAATGACTCACTCATAAACACTGCACTTGTTTCATTACTGGATGAATCAGCGTTTTTGAACAAATCTCTTGAATGAATGATTTAATGACTCACTCATAAAGACTTCACTTGTTTCATTACTAGATGAATCAGTGTTTTTGAACAAATCTCTTGAATGAATGATTCAATGACTCACTCATAAAGACTGCACTTGTTTCATTACTGGATGAATCAGTGTTTTTGAACAAATCTCTTGAATGGATGATTCAATGACTCACTCATAAAGACTGCACTTGTTTCATTACTGGATGAATCAGTGTTTTTGAACAAATCTCTTGAATGGATGATTCAATGACTCACTCATAAAGACTTCACTTGTTTCATTACTGGATGAATCAGCGTTTTTGAACAAATCTCTTGAATGAATGATTTAATGACTCACTCATAAAGACTTCACTTGTTTCATTACTAGATGAATCAGTGTTTTTGAACAAATCTCTTGAATGAATGATTCAATGACTCACTCATAAAGACTTCACTTGTTTCATTACTGGATGAATCAGAATATTTGAACAAATCTCTTGAATGAATGATTCAATGACTCACTCATAAAGACTTCACTTGTTTCATTACTGGATGAATCAGCGTTTTTGAACAAATCTTTTGAATGAATGATTCAAAGACTCACTCATAAAGACTTCACTTGTTTCATTACTGGATGAATCAGAATATTTAAACAAATCTCTTGAATGAATGACAAAAATGAACAGTCACTTATCGGCACCTACTGGTGTAACGATGTAATTGATACAATCTTTATTTGAGCATCAAGTTACTTTCAAATGATGATTTATCATACAGGTCTACTGTGGAGTGTTTTTACTGTGATGTGCTTACCTTTGGCCTTGAGGACACACTTGATGCTTCAGAACCCAGAAGGGAAAAAACAAAGAGAGAGAGAGAGAGAGAGAGAGAGAGAGAGAGAGTTAGGACAATATAACAGCTATCCCAACTAAGACAGTCCTGACGAGAACAACACATGCAGACTCCCCACAATGGCAAACCTTTTAATTTAGAGCGTTGAAGCTCAGACTCATGGGATTGCTCTTCTGAACACTGAGAGAAGCACTTTAATGAAATCTACAGGGAGACGACAGCAAACACAAGTGAGACGACTCCTAACCCTCATATCACCTGTGCCTCTGTCCTTCATTAAAACTTTCCCATCAAACAAAGAACATGGAAATGGCTCCATGTCTTCTCCCAGACCGAATCTCACCGCACACAAGGGCCCAATCCAGTAAAACGACAATGTGCCAAGATCAATATTCGACTGAGTTTCGAGCTAACAATGCGAGCCAAAGTCTGGGTGGAATTCAAAATGAAGTTCCACAATAACAATAAAATCTTATCAGCAACTTTGAGGTAATAAAAACACTCATAAAATGGAGTCTCTAAAGGCTTCAGAAACCGATTTTCTTTGAAACAACAGCAATTACAAACATAATACCCAATCAAAGCTCCCAGACTGCAGGAACAGGGGTTTTCAAAGGCGGAAGAGTGGCGTCTTTAGCCGACTGACAGCTGTAAGGCGAGGTCCCTGAGGGAGTCTGGGATGTCCATAAAACACGGATTATATGGAGGAAGACGCAACCAGATTGGAATGGATTTTTGACTAAAATACAGCCATAAAGCCTAGTCCACTCCGTACGCTATTTCCATCTGAGACAAATATCTGAGAGCACAAATGATTTCTATTCTTTGATTGAGTAAGCAATTCGCCTTTGGCTAAGCCACACCCTAGAATGTAGATTGACCAATCACAGCGCAGCCAAGAAGGCGCTCCCACAGAGGTCTGACACTTTTTCACAGCGCTCCATATTTTTGGTCTCAGCAGGCTATTATTACCATCGTAGTTTTATCAAAAATATGGTTAAACGTTGTGCCTGGGGCATTTGTAACACAGATACGCGTTTTCCAGAGAGGTTGGAGGGGGGTGTCCGTTTTTTTCCTTCCCAAAACCGAAGTCAAATCCTGACAAGTGTCGTCTTTGGATTAAACTCTGTGGACGTCCTCACAGTCAGCTACGTTAAACCCCTCAACAAGCTCACTTGTGTGCTCTAAAGTAAATGTTGCTTTTAACCTAATGTGAAGTTATACTAGTTAGACAGTGTTATGCTGTTAGGTTATGATTTCGGTTTTCTAACGTTACCCTAATTAATGAAGAAAGGTGCTAGCAAGCCAGCTTAGCGATAGTTTAGTTATCACGTAACGTTAACGTAAGTCAGGATTGTATGTTTTGAGTAGCGGCTGGATGTTAGCTAACTTTGTTATTCAAGATACAAACACCTAACGTTAATGTTACAGACACGCTGTGGTAGTTTTGAAGGTGACTAACGTTACCGCCAACCGTGTTGCCACAGTCCAACATTATTGTTTACATTTCTTTTAAAAAATGACCAAATTTGAAAGGTGAGACTTTGTTTAGTATCAAAATTAACCGAAAAGTAACCTGGTCTGTCAGCCTGTTGTCAGTCTCCTCTCTGCTCCGCGATGTATTTTTCACTGCTTGAGAACATGGTGTGTGCGTGAGAGCGGCGTAGCTTGACGGACATAGCGACAGTAACTAAGGGGGGCGGAGCTTAGCCAAAGGTGAATTACCTTAAATCGGTTCACAAAAACTGAACAGTGTTTAGATTGATAAGTGAAAGAGAACGATAATTTGCATGCTGTCCATCCTAAATACTAGGGCTAGTCTGTAATACAGTGCAATGCATTGGACAACTGAATGGCATCTTCAAGCATGCATGGTTGCTAAATGCAAATTTGAGATGTTATACAGGTTGCCTATCAAAATGGTTGGTATGAGTAAAATTACCCATCAGTGAACAAAACAAACCCTGCATTTGAACGGTGGCAGGTGGTAATTTCATTCCCTGAGTCACTTTTGACTTTAAAAAAAATTGTTAGTACTGCAAAAAGAATGTGGGAAATGAAACACACAATGTTGGACAATGTATCTGTTATTTTTGTCTTGCAGGTTCAAACAAGTCAGCAGCGCTTATAATTATTCATGTGATCGCGTGGCTTCATCCAATGAGAAGGCGCTGTCTCATAATTATTCATGACAACGAGCATTTTTCACGTGAGAGTTTCAAGATTTATAAAGCGGTGGACTGAGACAATCTGATAGTCATGGACACAAACGACATCCACTCTCACTGTGAGTGTGTTCATTCATCAAACCACATCCACTGAGTGAATAACAGTTATTAAAAATGCAAATGCACATTCACATACTATATGATGCAAATTAAAGCGGCTTGCATATGCATTAAACTAGATAAAATGAGCTGTGTGCATTTGTGTAATGCACGGTGAACTCTCATAATACAGGGCATTTTGATGAGTGCAGTTATGAATAGCAGCGTGCATTTATGAGAAACTTTGACGCCATTAACTCCATAAAAGTGAGATAAAACTGTGGATCAGACACAACTGTGTGTTCTCTCCTCGCCTCCTACTCTTTTCACTGTGTTGAAAACTGGAGGGTTTCATAACACTACAAACCCAAAAGCAAAGTAAAATGATTGCTAAGATGCAAATGTAAACGCAGCACCAAGAATGGCATGTTAGCTTGTTCCAGTTCTAGCTTTCAAAATACTAACGGTGAAGTACATACTTTAAGTATATAGTAGAGTGTGCACAAGAGGAGATACTTTTACTGATGACTTTATCACTTTATCAGTATTTTTATCATTCATTTTCTTCATAGGCATTAAAAAATAAAGTATTAAAAAGTTGTAAGCCCAAACTACTATGCTCACAAAGTTAACACTGACTACCGATTGGTCGATTTCTCTTCAGGATTATGGGTAGTGTAGTACAGCATTTTAACTTAGCAATTAAATGAATTTGGCTGAAAAGTGTCTTTTCATTTAAAAATGGTTTCTCTATGAAGAAAATTTAATGGATTTTTACTTCCAGACCCCCACTGTTGCGCTCTACTGGGACGCAGCCAAAGACTTCACTACAAACTGGGAAACAAAGGAAGGAAGGAGTTCAAAAACCCAGAAGACAGCGGAGTATTAGCTCGCATGCTGAGAGACGGATTGAGAGCGGGAAAGTCAGAGCGTTAAGACTTACGAGAGCATGCAGGAAAACTGTGGTTAATCTGTTCCATAACCTCAGCCAGATCAGAGTTACTGCTAGCATACTGACGGAAAAACTCATCTGAGAACACACACACACACAGAATACACTCAACAGATTATAACATAAAGAAGTCAATCAGAGCCCTCAGCATAATCACCCTGCGGTGTGAGTGTGTCTGTGTACCTGGGAGCTCGGGATGTCCTGCTGTATCCTGATGGAGAGAGCCGGAGGACGACGTGCCATTTAACTCAGGCTAGAAAGAGAGATAGGCATGGTTTAAAAACTAGGGGTGCGTGATATGTATGTATTGATTTTGTTGAGTTCATTTGATTGGTAACATCCTATAGTTTTATTATTTGAATTCAATTTATTGATTAAATGAGGAATATGAGAAGCTTTTGGAGTCAGTTGTCCATGATACATATAGACCTCACAAAAACACACGTCACCGTCGAAATCCCAGAACATATCAAGTCATCATTTTTTGTTAATATCGTACCCTCTTATACAATACAGCATCATACATATATATATTATCAGCAGCTCCTCACAGACAGATTTATTTGGCATGTGTGAGAAGTCATTACTGCTTATAGTCTTCCTCTAGGTCAAAGCAAGGCAGCCAGAAATGTCAGACTGGAATGCCAGTCTTGTTGGCCTTTTTGGATACCCAGTTATATTGTGTTTATTTAGCTAAGAGCCTTTGACAAGACCATCTGGCTTAACTGAGGCTCAGTGCAGTGAATCTGGCCCTCAGGAGACCCAATAAATTACTGTTACTCTAAATCAAGGCTCATTGAACGCCTGTGCTTGATTCACAACACTATTGGCGGCTGTTGGACTCCCTGGCATTGCCTGTTAAACCATGAAGGCCATTGAAGGATGGAACAATAGCAGTTTATACAGCGAAATAGAGCTGGAACTGAACCTGAGACAGGTGATGTTAGTCTCAGCTTCACACCACGGGGACGGTATGATGCATATTCAAAGAGTGGACAGTTATAAGATGCAAGGCTTAAATTCTGATAGTTAAAAGTTTGTCTTCACAAGATTCAAGCTTTATTCCAATAAAGCGCTGCAGGGACGACATATTTGTATTTGACTTTCATTTTGGATTATTGGAGAAAATAAGCTCTGTGATCAGCAGAGGTTTATGGTTTTTACACATCTAGATAATCTTCACAAGTGAATTCAAGTTTTATGAATGTTGAAGCCGGAATTCAATAGTCAGAAGCAAAAAGCTAAAGTAGGCTATGAACGAACTACACCACAGTGGCACATCCTCGATGTCACAATCTCTACGCTTCTAAAAACTCGTTCAGTCTTTAAAATCTACAAGTTGAAAAATGTGAGTTAGAAATATTTACAAGAGCACGATTATAAACACAACAACTAGTGAGTAGATGAGTTCACCTGTTCGGCTGATGATGCTTAACGTCCATGTTGTATGTCGTAAAAGAAAACGTGAAAAAATATCTTGAGCTTGTTTTCACCACAGACGCATGACAAATGAAGCATGAATCGGCGCACAATATCAAACATGTTTGATCAGCTCAGACTGGAATGAATTTATCAGTCAAGTCAAGTCATCCTCATTTATACAGCGCTTTTAACAATGTAGATTGTTTCAAAGCAGCTTTACAGAGATAAACATATAATTTAAGGTTTGGTTT